CCTCCATTCCTCCACACAGAATCTCTCCAGATCCTCCATTCCTCCATACAGAATCTCTCCAGATCCTCCATTCCTCCACACAGAATCTCTCCAGATCCTCCATTCCTCCACACAGAATCCAGATCCTCCATTCCTCCACACAGAATCCAGATCCTCCATTCCTCCACACAGAATCTCTCCAGATCCTCCATTCTTCCACACAGAATCTCTCCAGATCCTCCATTCCTCCACACAGAATCTCCCCAGCCCAGATCCTCCATTCATCCACACAGAATCTCTCCAGATCCTCCATTCCTCATTACAGAATCTCTCCAGATCCTCCATTCCTCATTACAGAATCTCTCCAGATCCTCCATTCCTCCACACAGAATCTCTCCAGATCCTCCATTCCTCCACACAGAATCTCTCCAGATCCTCCATTCCTCCACACAGAATCTCTCCAGATCCTCCATTCCTCCACACAGAATCTCTCCAGATCCTTCATTCCTCCACACAGAATCTCTCCAGATCCTTCATTCCTCCACACAGAATCTCTCCAGATCCTTCATTCCTCCACACAGAATCTCTCCAGATCCTTCATTCCTCCACACAGAATCTCTCCAGATCCTTCATTCCTCGTTACAGAATCTCTCCAGATCCTCCATTCCTCCACACAGAATCTCTCCAGATCCTTCATTCCTCCACACAGAATCTCTCCAGATCCTCCATTCCTCCACACAGAATCTCTCCAGATCCTTCATTCCTCCACACAGAATCTCTCCAGATCCTCCATTCCTCATTACAGAATCTCTCCAGATCCTCCATTCCTCCACACAGAATCTCTCCAGATCCTCCATTCCTCATTACAGAATCTCTCCAGATCCTCCATTCCTCCACACAGAATCTCTCCAGATCCTCCATTCCTCATTACAGAATCTCTCCAGATCCTCCATTCCTCCACACAGAATCTCTCCAGATCCTCCATTCCTCCACACAGAATCTCTCCAGATCCTCCATTCCTCCACACAGAATCTCTCCAGATCCTCCATTCCTCCACACAGAATCTCTCCAGATCCTCCATTCCTCCACACAGAATCTCTCCAGATCCTCCATTCTTCCACACAGAATCTCTCCAGATCCTCCATTCCTCCACACAGAATCTCTCCAGATCCTCCATTCCTCCACACAGAATCTCTCCAGATCCTCCATTCCTCCACACAGAATCTCTCCAGATCCTTCATTCCTCCACACAGAATCTCTCCAGATCCTTCATTCCTCCACACAGAATCTCTCCAGATCCTTCATTCCTCATTACAGAATCTCTCCAGATCCTCCATTCCTCCACACAGAATCTCTCCAGATCCTTCATTCCTCCACACAGAATCTCTCCAGATCCTCCATTCCTCCACACAGAATCTCTCCAGATCCTCCATTCCTCCACACAGAATCTCTCCAGATCCTTCATTCCTCCACACAGAATCTCTCCAGATCCTTCATTCATCATTACAGAATCTCTCCAGATCCTCCATTCCTCCACACAGAATCTCTCCAGATCCTTAATTCCTCCACACAGAATCTCTCCAGATCCTCCATTCCTCATTACAGAATCTCTCCAGATCCTCCATTCCTCCACACAGAATCTCTCCAGATCCTCCATTCCTCATTACAGAATCTCTCCAGATCCTCCATTCCTCCACACAGAATCTCTCCAGATCCTCCATTCCTCCACACAGAATCTCTCCAGATCCTCCATTCCTCCACACAGAATCTCTCCAGATCCTCCATTCCTCCACACAGAATCTCTCCAGATCCTCCATTCTTCCACACAGAATCTCCCCAGCCCAGATCCTCCATTCCTCCACACAGAATCTCTCCAGATCCTCCATTCCTCATTACAGAATCTCTCCAGATCCTCCATTCCTCCACACAGAATCTCTCCAGATCCTCCATTCCTCCACACAGAATCTCTCCAGATCCTCCATTCTTCCACACAGAATCTCCCCAGATCCTCCATTCCTCCACACAGAATCTCTCCAGATCCTCCATTCCTCCACACAGAATCTCTCCAGATCCTCCATTCTTCCACACAGAATCTCCCCAGCCCAGATCCTCCATTCCTCCACACAGAATCTCTCCAGATCCTCCATTCCTCCACACAGAATCTCTCCAGATCCTCCATTCCTCCACACAGAATCTCTCCAGATCCTCCATTCCTCCACACAGAATCTCTCCAGATCCTCCATTCCTCCACACAGAATCTCTCCAGATCCTCCATTCCTCATTACAGAATCTCTCCAGATCCTCCATTCCTCCACACAGAATCTCTCCAGATCCTCCATTCCTCCACACAGAATCTCTCCAGATCCTCCATTCCTCATTAGATCCTCCATTCCTCCACACAGAATCTCTCCAGATCCTCCATTCCTCCATACAGAATCTCTCCAGATCCTCCATTCCTCCACACAGAATCTCTCCAGATCCTCCATTCCTCCACACAGAATCTCTCCAGATCCTCCATTCCTCATTACAGAATCTCTCCAGATCCTCCATTCCTCCACACAGAATCTCTCCATTCCTCCACACAGAATCTCTCCAGATCCTCCATTCCTCCACACAGAATCTCTCCAGATCCTCCATTCCTCATTAGATCCTCCATTCCTCCACACACAATCTCTCCAGATCCTCCATTCCTCCACACAGAATCTCTCCAGATCCTCCATTCTTCCACACAGAATCTCTCCAGATCCTCCATTCCTCCATACAGAATCTCTCCATTCCTCCACACAGAATCTCTCCAGATCCTCCATTCCTCATTACAGAATCTCTCCAGATCCTCCATTCCTCCACACAGAATCTCTCCAGATCCTCCTTTCCTCCACACATAATCTCTCCATTCCTCCACACAGAATCTCTCCAGATCCTCCATTCCTCCACACAGAATCTCTCCAGATCCTCCATTCCTCATTAGATCCTCCATTCCTCCACACAGAATCTCTCCAGATCCTCCATTCCTCCACACAGAATCTCTCCAGATCCTCCATTCCTCCACACAGAATCTCTCCAGATCCTCCATTCCTCCACACAGAATCTCTCCAGATCCTCCATTCCTCCATACAGAATCTCTCCAGATCCTCCATTCCTCCACACAGAATCTCTCCAGATCCATCATTCCTCCACACAGAATCTCTCCAGATCCTTCATTCCTCCACACAGAATCTCTCCAGATCCTCCATTCCTCCACACAGAATCTCTCCAGATCCTCCATTCTTCCACACAGAATATCTCCAGATCCTCCATTCCTCCACACAGAATCTCTCCAGATCCTCCATTCTTCCACACAGAATATCTCCAGATCCTCCATTCCTCCACACAGAATCTCTCCAGATCCATCATTCCTCCACACAGAATCTCTCCAGATCCTTTAGATTCCCAGCTCCATGCTGGTGCTACTTCTCTTCAGTTCAGCCCACTCTTTTTTTATTGAGTTCAGGTCAGGAACTGGGACGGTCACACATTTTTACGTTGATTTTGATGTTTGTTTTGGATCGTTGTCCTGATGTATCGTTCAGGATTGTTGGATCGTTCCCCATTATAGCAGAGGCTGTCAGGTATTATTTTTTTTTTATCTGTTGGTATTTGCTAGAATCCATGATACCATGTATCTGAACAAGATGTCCAGGACCTCCAGCTAAAAAAAAATAGGCCCACATCATTAAAGATCCAGCTGTATATTTAACCATGGGCATTGGGTTCTTTTTATCCCCGTCTTCACCAAACCCATCTGGTGGATTTTCCGCCAAAAAGGTTTTTTTTTTTTTTTTTTTTTTTTTTTTTTTTTTATCTGACCACAGAATCCAGTCCATTTTGAAGTTCCAGTTGTGTCTGACAACTGAATATGCTGGAGTTTGTTTTTGGGTGAGCGAGGAGGATTTTTATTAAAACCCTCCCAAACAACATGTGGTGATGTAGGGGTTGTTTGAATTTAAAAATGTTTTTTAAGGTTTTCTGACCCCAAGTCTCTACTAATTATCCATCTGTGATCCTTGGATCCTCAAACTCTTGCATTAGGACGAAATTAACACACGTCCTCAGAAACGGGCAATGGGCTCAGATTGGTTAGTTGTAATTGGCTAAACTGCGTAGTGCACGTTGTCCGGAAACTTCACGCCCATTACCTTTACGGGCGAAAGTTGCATGTGCTCCGGTCAAATGTAAATAATGGTGTCAATACTGCCGTATCAGTTTGAGCCAGAATCAGACCCAGAAAGCGGTGATGAAGAGAGTCAAGCATGATTGAGATTGATTGATGTAAATTTACGGGTTAGTTGTGTATAAAACCCAGGAAGTATCTCGTTGTAGTCCCATTCGAGTCGTTTTTGTAGGCATTAAACTTCCTGATTTTTTAAAAAGTCGATATCTCTGCTTACATTGAACTTTCAGCGCAGCAACTTTGCAGACACTGTTCATGCACCAACAGCAGCATTACACACTGTTTAAAAAAAAGTGATATCGCAATCAACCACCCCTTTAATTTTGTGCTCTTTTTCTTTGTTTCCTCATGCAACAAGAAGTCATAGCTAGAGAATTTCATGTTCCTAGTCACCCTGGTGTGCTAAATAATGTAAATATTAATGGGAATATACTTCAGGGATTTTTTTACTATTTTTTTTTACTATTTTACAATTCTAGGGGTGCCAATAATTGTGGCCAACGTGTTTTGGAGAAAAAACATTTCATAGTGTGATTTTTTTTTTTTTTTACTTCTAATTATTTTACTTCAATGAAAGACTAGATTTTTGTGATTTATTTATTTATTTATTTTTATTGAAAGATCCAAAGGATAAACAATGTAGAATTATTTTTTAAAGCCATCTTTAATCATATTTACCAGGGGTGCCAATAATTCTGACCACAACTGTATGTAATACTGTGACGGTCACAAATACGTAATGCTGTATTGTAACAATCTGCTTAGATTAATCACTACTCTGATATTACACCTCTCAATGTCACCAACACAGTCCGAGGAAGTTCTTTCCGAGTGTCGTGTGCGTTTCCTGTCGTTCATGGGAGTCGGGAAGGATGTGCACACGTTTGCATTCATCATGGCAGAGGGACCTGGAGACTTCATCTGTCACATGTTCTGGTGTGATCCTAACGCAGCCAGTCTAAGTGAGGCCGTACAGGCTGCCTGCATGGTAAGCTTATGTCTAGTTAATCATCTACAGCACAAATTCAAGTGAAATTAATTCTTCACTGCACATGTAAAAAAGATACAGATAGTTCATGGTGTTGCACACAGTGCAGGGCTTCAGACTGCGACTAAAACGGTCCAAAAATATTTATTTATATTAATAAATATTTATTGCTATTCATTTGTGAGTGATATTTTTTCTAAGATCGCCACAATATAAATTTACATGTTATGATTAAAAATTGTGTGCCTTTTTACCTGTATGTTCTGTGATGCTCCATAAATTATTTCATAAATTAAATTTTTTCATAAATTAGTCCATATGATTTTTGCTGCATATTCCAAGTCTTCTGATGTCATGTTCTTGGTTTGGGTAATGAACCCAAAATTTAAGTTGTTAATTAGGGATGCACGATGATATCGGGACAACATCGGTATCGGCCGATAAAAGCTTAAAATGACCATCATCAGCAGATATGAATATTTCTGCCGATGAGCCTTGCCGATAGGGTGGCGTGTTTCCTATGCGCATGTGACGACCAAAAATCATAGAATCATGCATTCTATCAGTTCAATTCTGCCGCCTTCATCTCAACATACTTTACAACGTGACGTACATTCACATCACATGTAAACGCAGAGATAGTTACACTCACGGGACACTGCAATTCACAAAAGTTCATTATTTGCATGTGTTCAGATCCAGTCTACCTTTGGCATGTCTACCAAAGTCTTGCTAGTTAAACATGTCATTCACGTGCTGATGTGCTGTTCTAACATGCACTTTTCTGAGCGCGTTACACCCGACGCTCACAGGAACTAAAAGCCTGTCACAGCGCCTGCATACTGGACTAAGTTATCTTTCGAGTCTTATTGCGCTAATACTGTCAAATACACACAAGGTTTAAATAAACAAAGTTGGTTATGTCTAAAGTGAAAGCAAACAGAGAAAATCTGCTTGTCAAATGTGTGTATATTAGACTCGTCGCGTGCAGCTCTTAAAGAGACAGAACCTATAATATGCTGCCGCTTGTCCTTAAAGAGATACTGCACCCAGAAATAAAAATTCTGTCATTATTTACTCCCTCTAATGTTGTTCCAAACCTGTATTCATTTCTTTCTTGTGCTTAAATACACTATGGAAGTCACTGGAGTACAGCAACTGTTTGGTTAGCCACATTCTTCCAGATAACTTTTATTTTCAACAGAAGAAAGAAACTTGAGAGAGTAAATGATGACAATTAAAATGTTTTAAAACTATCCCTTTAATGTTAATAAAACAACAAAACACAGAGGAAATCACTCACTGCTCTTGACTGAGAACTTTAATAGAAGTTTTAATAAGATTTTTTGCACTTAAAAAATACAAATATATCGGTATCGGGCAAAATTAGTTTGAAAATATCGGCATATCGAATATCGGCCAAAATCCAAAATCGTGCATCCCTATTGTTAATCCCTCCATTGCAGCTCTCGTACTTGAATTCATATGTGATTATTTAATGAACCTGTGGTGTTTAGAATCACTGGAATTACACACTTCAGTTTTTACAGTATAAAATAGATCATTTTGATGAATTAGATCATTCGGGACCAAAAAGTATTGGCATCATTTTTTGACACTTTTTTTTTTGTGCAAAGTTTGCTGCTTCAGTATAAGTTTTAAAGGATTTTATTTGCAAAAACGTTCAGTGTATGCAAAGAGTCCATGTTTAAAGTGTTGACCCTTCTTCATAACCTCTGCAGTTCGCTTTAGCATGCTGAATATCAGCTTCTGGGCCAATCCTGATCCATGGTGATCCATTCTTGCATTATTAGTGCTATTAGTTGTTCTGATCACAGGTTCTCTGTTTAAATGTAATGATATCTGAGCCACTTCATTATCACTCTTGCCTTGTGTGACGTGTCCCATCGTGGTGGAAAATGCACGGATCATCACCAACTTGCTTCAGGGTCGTTGGAGCAGTTGCTCTTGGAGCTTTTGATACCATTCTTTATTTCTTGCGTAGTTTTGGGACAGAATTGTGCGAGAGCCACTTCCTTGGAGGAAAAGCCACCCCACACATGGATGGTCTCTGGATGCTCCACTGTTGGCAAGACACATCGTTCCCCTTTTCTTCCCTGGACAATCAATCCTTGTACTTCCTGCAGAATTTCAGTCTGGAGCCGATCTGCACTGGAGACACGGTTCTGCAGCGGCTCCTCATGAGGAGACCGTCCTGGTGTTTGCTGGGCACTCTGGGACATCACTTCAGTTAATCTGGTTAATGATTCTTTCAGGTGCAATTTCCTTGCATGAGGCCATTTAAAGGAACACTCCGACTTTTTGGGACCCCCAGAGTTAGATAAGTCCATACATACCTTTTTCATCTCCGTGCGTGCTATAAGTCTGTTTGACGCACCCACCGCTAGCCTAGCTTAGCACAAAGACTGGATGTAAATGGTTGCAGCAAGCATACTAATCCAAATAAGTGACAAAATAGCGCAAACATTTTCCTATTTACATGTTGTGATTTGTATAGTCACAAAGTGTGCAAAAAACAAAGTCACATGAGACGCATATTTTAACCGTATAAATACTGGGAATTATATTCTCTGAAGGCGAAGCACTGCTACTTGGGCGGAGTGATAACCGCAGCACCTGAGACGTACCGTACCCAAACTCTGAACGAACTCTCTTCTCCTCACCACGGCCCACCAGTCTTTGTGCTAAGCTAGGCTAGCGGTGGGTGCGTCAAACAGACTTATAGCACGCACGGAAATGAAAAAGGTATGTATGGACTTATCTAACTCTGGGGGATAAGGTGAATAGGCTAAAGTCCCAAAAAGTCGGAGTGTTCCTTTAATGCATAGTGATGATGACTGCAGACCTTTCTGAGGAGGGAACACTGTGAAGACAATGATTGAAAGTACTTCTTCCCTCCTTTTATATCAATCAGTTTGCTCTTCTAATCCAATCAGAATGATCGAGTGATTTCTGAATGATAGTACTCATGTGCTGGTAATATGATTTGTGAAATGATGTTAGATGGTAGCGTGTGCCCGAAGCGAATACCTTATTCTGAACGGCATGGAGAATGAATAACGCAGTCTAGGAGCCCTAGCATAGTTAGGCTTACTGCGGTCGTCAACCGACCACACAAACGCATTACATCGCTTGCCCCCACTGTCGGTGTGCTTTTTTAAATAGAAATAAAAACCTTTTAGTTCAGTTGGACAACAGACGCTTCAATTATAAACTGAAAGCATCTGCTCTGCTCCATGCATCATCGACAAATATCTTATCCTGTAAAAAATCATAAAAATCATACATGCGTGATCGTGAATTCGAACATGAAAGTGAAAAGTGAGCACACATTCAAAAGCTATGTCAATACCCCGCATGTTTATAACGGCTCCCTGATGCCCGCAGATTATATACAATATAAATAGTGAATACCCAACTATATAATTGCAAGAGAACACACAAGCATTGAAATATATTTTTTCCTCCCATCTCGTGTTTTTCCCATCACCATGTCCTTTAAGGCTCTCCGTAGAATGTGCTGGGTATTGGTGTTCACCTTCAGCCACATCTAGCTGGTCTTTTATGCCAGGGCCAAAACATGGTGAAATTAGCATTTTTGTGATAAAGTTCTTTCTTTGCCAATGAAGCGTTTTGAAATTATTTCAAATGCATCTGATCACTCTGCACAATAATCTACAAATAATGTGAATCAACACCACAAATACTGAAGCGGCAGACACAGAATAAGCAGGAAACACAACATTTGTCACTGCCAATACTCTTGGCCAGAGTGTGTCATCTAATAACTAGTTGTTGCTGTTCTTCTAAAATGTTTTAAACGATATCTTGCATGATTTACAGCTGAGGTATCAGAAGTGTTTGGACGCTCGGCCCCCCAGCACTGGCTCCTGTCTGCCCGGTCCTCCCGCCGACTCCGTGGCCCGCCGGGTCGGCTCCAGCGTGAAGAAGGGTGTGCAGAGTCTGCTGGGTAGCTTCAAGAGATCTGGGTCTCAGACGCCCTGAGAACAGCAGCGCTCACTGCACATTCCTCCTGTGTGTTTGTTCATGTCACTTCATGTGCTCCTAATGTTATATGAGCGAGAGGCACACAAGTTACATTCATAGATATTACATTATCACACACTACAATTTCATTTGCTTTTTCCACGTTTGTTCACGTTAGCGGATGTACTGTAAAAGTGATTTAGCAGCACGGGGTATGAATGCGACTTACCAAGATTGGATTTTCAATGTAGTGGCTGTTATGTGGACTACTCGACCTAAAGACACTAAACATTACGCATGCTATCACAAAACACTAAAATGAGCTTATACACTATGCAATGTGCTTATTTATTATTTGTTGTTCTTCCTGTGGCTCTGTTGTGACACATATTGTGCTAGCTTTGACTGCTTTTCTTTTTCTCCTAAAGAATTGATTCTTTCCCAACCTCAACACAGGGACAGAACCACGACTGAATCGATAGCAAACCCAGACCTCGTCGGTCACCCTAAAAATGCCGCTCCAAACCTGTATGCCTTTCTTTCTTCTGTGGAAAACAAGATATTTTTTTAAACATGTCAGTGTTGAAACAACATTTGACGTCAGTGACTTTCACTTTATGGAAACAAAAGTGCAGTTTCACATTTTATTTGACTTGCCTCGCTTTCAAGTCACAAAGCCTTTTAATTTCCATCATTTCTTTGCTGATATAGATTTTTGTAACAAATTAACTCAATTAGATTATATTACACATTACTTTACATTTACCCACTCTGTCGGTTTGTGAATTTGACTACTATATTATGTGTAATGAAATAGCATTAACATATCCTAGTCTTCCAAAGTGGATTTGCTCATTAGAAAGACTGCTTTTTTTTTTATCTTGTAATTTTATGTAATGTTTCCCCCCCTTATCTGTTTGTTGTGTTGGATGGCTTCATCTGGGTCAAATGATCAAACCTGCTCAGTCCAAACATCAGCGTAGTGTGTTTGACGGAGTGTGTGACGTACTTCTCTAGAGGTGCTCTCTGCATTTGTCCCGGTCCAGTTTCTACCGTCACTGAAATCGTTCCTTCTCACAATTTCAAAAAAAAATTATATTGGAAGTCTGATTATCTGATCAATTTACATGTTGTGTATTGGAAACAATCTTTGGATATATATCTTAAATGCTTTGCAACCATAGTGGTCCTGCTGTATATAAACATTATTTCTTTCAAATACACATTGTAACATATTGCAATGTCTTAAACTTTTAAGAACGTGTAAGAGAATTCATTAATATCATGTTGTGTTAATTGTAGTTCATGTACATACTGACTTTAATACACTAATAGTGGCAGACAGCTCTGTTTTTCATCCGTTTTCAGGCTCATTTTCATGTCCAGTTACACCTGTTGTTGAAGATAAATGTTTGAATGCTCTTCAACGAATGAATGTGTGTTCAATCGGATTTGTGTATCTGAATGCTCCATCTTGGCCCTTTTCACTCTAACATTTTGTGTGCAAGTCTAGATGATGTAATCGTGATGCTTAAAATGCACTGCTTTTGTTAACGCTCTTGAAAAGACTTTATTGTAGAATAAGCGTACATTCTCAGCATATATTCTGCATTACATTGAGAACTGGTAACAAAGAAAACGTCATTCTCTCCACTTAAATATCATGAAGGTACTTTGTGTGCCAAAGCACAGCTATAAAATCACAAGCTGTTTCTTATAAAACAAGGAAATGTTACTTTATGCATAAATATTCACTGATTGGTAACATGGTAGAAATGCCTCAAGTACATTTGCTTTTCAAAACAAGGCACGTTTTAGCTATGATACTTGAAATTGAAGGACAGTCCTGTAAACGCTTGCGTAGACACTTGTACACATCCTGTAAACGCTAATGTAGAATGTTTTAACCATAACATTTTTAGGGAGAGTTGACAACTGATTTCTTAAAATGTAAATTTAATGTTATATAGATGCATATGTGTCTGGATGAAATAAAAAACTGAAAATACATTTAACGCTTATCTGCACAGTTTAATTAAAATACTAAGACAGTTGTTAAAGCCAGGGGTGGGGTGGGGTGGGGCGGATGATTGTTTCATGTGGAAAAAAACTAACCCCAAATAAAATAACTAATGTTATTTATAATAAAACTTTGCAGTATTTATTACAGTGAAAGCAAAAGTAATGTCATCGTGTCAGATTATACTTTTGAATTATCGAAGCGATAGATTATCGAAACATACTTGCATACATCATTAGGAAGCATGGCATTAGTTTTCACTGTTATGCTGACGTTACTCAGCTCTATACTCAGTGGAACAGTCTTTGACCCCATAGACAATATCTTTTCCCTTTAAGGTTGAGTTACAGAACAGAACAATACATCCACACTGTGCAAACTTGAACTAATATAAACCTATATTTAGGATTAATGTTCACTCTGCCAAGTGGGCATACGTGTACGTGGCTATACAGTGGGTATAGAAAAGAATCACCCCCCTTTAAAATAATCACATTTTGTTGCTTTGCAGCCTAAAATTAAGACAGACACAGTTTTTGTTTCATTCAGCTGTATTTACATCCAAGTGAAAGATATAACACCCACATATCAGAAACAATAAAAAAAAAAAATAAAAAAAAATCACTGAGTTGGAAAAAGGATCACCCCCTTGTTTCAGTATTTTGTTGAACCACCTTTTGCTTTAATTACAGCCTTTAGTCTGTTGGGATATGTCTCTACTAACTTTGCACATCTAGACATTGCAATATTTGACCACTCTTCTTTGCAGAACTGCTCAAGTTCAGTTAAATTTGATGGTGACCGTTTGTGGACTGCTGTCTTCAAGTCATTCCACAGATTTTCAATGCGGTTTAAGTCTGGGCTCTGACTAGGCCATGCAAGGACATTCACCTTTTTCTCCTTCAACCACTGTGTGGTCAGTTTTGCTGTGTGTTTTGTGTCATTGTCATGTTGGAAGGTAAATCTTCTTCCCATTGACAACTTTCTGGCAGAGAGCAGCAGATTTTCCTCAAGAATTTGACGGTATTTTGCCCCATCCATTTTTCCTTCTATCCTGACTAGTGCTCCAGTCCCTGCTGCAGAGAAACAACCCCATAACATGATATTACCACCTCCAAGCTTTACTGTAGGAATGGTGTTATTTGGATGGTGAGCTGTATTGGATTTTCGCCAGACATATCGTTTGGCGTTGAGGCCAAATAATTCAATTTTAGTCTCATCTGACCATAACACCTTTTTTTTCCACGTGGCCTTAGTATCTTCAAGGTGTGTTTTGGCAAAGCTCGGTCGTGACTGGATGTGGCCTTTCTTGAGGAGCAACCCTCCCATACCCTCCCATACAAGCCACATTTGTGGAGAATTTGTGATATTGTTGTCACATGCACACAATGACCACTCTTCATGAATGTCATGAATTCCTGCAACTGCTTCAGAGTTGCTGTAGGCCTCTTGGTAGCCTCTCTGACCAGTTTCCTCCTGGCTCTTTCATCCAGTTTGGAGCGACGTCCTGACCCAGGGAGGGTCTGTGTTGTACCAAATACCTTCCACTTCTTAATAATACACTTCACTGTGCTTCTAGGCACTGATAAAGCCTTTGAATTTTTTTTGTATCCATCTCCTGACTTGTGCCTGTCCACAACTTTATCCCGAAGATCTTTTGACAATGCCTTGCCACCCATAGTTGATTGTTTTCTTCAGTTGCACTACCAAGGACTGAAATGCTTCAGGAAAAGCTTGTTTCATGCTGAGCTAATCAAAATGACCACAGCTGATCACATTTGAAAGTCAATTGGCTTTGTGTGCTATTGAGAAGGTGATTAACTACACCTGGTTGGGTTTACAAGTCATTTTAAGGAGGGGGGTGATTCTATTTCCAACTCAGTGATTCTGTTTTTTAATTTGTAAAAAAACATTCTGACAAGTTGGTATTATATCTTTCACTTGGATGTTATAAGTTGTAAATACAGCTGAATAAAACAAAAATTATTTTTGTCCGTTTTCATTTCAGGCTGTAAAGCAACAAAATGTGATTATTTTAAAGGGGGGTGATTCTTTTCTATACCCACTGTATGTGGTGTGATTAGGGTTGCCAACTTCAGAAAAGAAAAATGCGGGACAATCGTGGTTCTTTACAGGAAAATAAGGGACACTCAAAATATTTGTAGGCTACTGTAGCCTATCACAAGATATGTCATTTCAGCTTCTTATGTGTTTAAAAGGTTCTCAGACATAAACAGACGTACATATTTGTTTTGCTTAAACTATTTATGTACAATTTAATTCTAAAACTAATTTTAAGGTCACACAAAAAAGTCCCATTACACACAAACCATAGTTCAAAATAATAGCATTTATCTGAAATAGAAAGCTTTTGTAACATTATTCATGCACTACATTTTAAAGAAAGTAATAGACTACTTTTATTCAGCAAGGACGCATTAAAGTAGCCTAATCAAAAGTGACAGTAAAGACATAATGTTACAAAAGCTTTTTTTTATTTCGGATAAATCAATTTGAACCTTCTATTCATTAAAGAATCCTGACTTCTTTTTTAAAACATTAATAATAATCAGAAATGTTTATTGGGCAGCAAATCACATCAGCATATTATTCCCTCAGGAAGAGTTTCTTGCATCGATGGATGTCGGACTCATGAACAATAATCACGTTGTTTGAATTCGCCAAAACTGATTTGCCGAAAATCAAAATCCGGCCGGACAGTGGAAGGGATTTGACGTTAGCGCGAGTCCGGATCGAACCGGGAGCGGCGACAGCAGAGGATTCTGTTCGCAAATCAATGATTTGTCCCAAAAGAATAATTAATTCTCAATTTAGAGTTTGTTATTCGTCTGGTCTGATGTGCGTGAGGGTGGGCTCTGATTGGATGATGACCGGTGTCGTGATCATTCTCAAGTGTCGTGTTGCTGCTGTATCAGTCAGTGGTTAGATCAGCATAGCAGTCTATTTAACCGGGACGAGGGAGCCCCGTACGGGACAAATAAATTAGGC